GCATCCTGAAGCTAGCACCTGGTCTAATAATGTCACCTAGGCCCTGTATGCTTTTCCTTTTGCACACAAACAGTTTCACAGAATATTAAGTCAAATGAGGCCACTCTTGGCTAGGAGTGGCAGAGGCTTAAGCAAGACAATCCATGGTCATGTGTGAACAGGAACGAGGACCAAGTGTTCCACTGTCCTGATGAACACAGGTAACTACTAGTTCTTCAAGGTGACAGCTCAAGCCCCTGTCCTACTCTGGAAGATTTACTAAAATACCCAAATCAAAGAATCGTGCCAACTTCTTGATAGGATCCAGTCCAAGGCAAAGTCCCACTCCCTTAAGCCCTCCACAGTCACTGGACACAGACTCCCGCCCTGCGCGTCTGTCCTCACACATTCCTGTGAGACACAGGTGGCTCCTGGGGTAGCGTAACCCTTTGTGCCCCCTTTCAGCCATGCTCCTAGTGCTCTGGGGCTGGAGGACATGGACAGAGAAAGGAGCACCTCAATGAACACAACAGTTTACTGATTACCTGATCAGCTAGTTATAGGGCTAGAAAACCTAAACCAATAGCAGCCTAAACAGGATAGAAGCCTTCCTTTATGTAAAACTCTAAAGGTGAAAAGGTACAGGACTGCAGTGTCAGCTTGGAATCATGAGTTTAGGCTCTTACTGTTTTCTTTCTAGCATCCCAGCCCATGCCTCTCAGCCTCGGGGTTGGCTCATGGTCCAGCATGACATGGGGAGCCTGCTGAGAGCCTGCGTCCAGGCAGCTGGACAGGAGCAGGGCAGGATGATGGCAGTATCCTCCGCCTGCATCAGCGCCCTTCCAAAAGGCTTCAGGAAACTCAACTTAAAGAACAGTGAAGTACATGTAAAATGTTTTTGTCAAAATAAAATAGAGATATAATTATTTAATGACTGTAATTGCTAGTCCATAAATACCTTGTCTCTGACCACTTTGACGACTCTAATAGGATTCTCTGAAACGATCCTCTGCCAGACCTTATTCTAATATGATCGATTCATAAAGAATTAATGACACACTAAGACTGTGATGTTTCCTATTTCACTGCACGGTTGCAGATATCATTTTGTGGTCTTCCATTCAGAATCAAGTTAGTGAGGACTTGGAATTTAGTGTAGATGTGACTGCATGTGTGTGACACATTGGTTCCTGAAGAGCTACATGCAAAGTACATTTAAAAAATGAGATACTTGTCCCCTTCTATCCTCTAGAGGAAAATGTAGCCTAGGTGCACAGGCTGTCCTGTAGCCTATGTCCTCTACATCTGTCTGTATTACCTGCCTTATTTCCTTCCCACAATGCTCACCATTACATTTATTTCAAGTATCATTTCCCTGTATTGTATCTCTTTCTCTTTAGTAGAGAGTTAGTAATGGTCCTTAGAAACAGGAGCGTTATAATGAGCTGGAAGTTCTGTGCCCTTGCCTAGAATAGTGCCTCATTCTCAAATGCGTGTGATAACTAAATGAACTACCTGGAAGATTTGTTTGTATAAATGTCATTATTTGTAGATCACATGTATTTAGTTTCTGTTATATCAAGTCGCCCACTGCTCTCAGGACCATCTGCCAATCCTTGCTCACCAAAGCCATGATACTAAGGCAATAAAGGCCAAGTACAGAAATCTGACTTTTCCTGTCAGTCAAGGTGCCCAACCACCAAGTTCAGCAGTTCACGTAAAGCCTTCGTCTTCCTCCCCCTCTTCCGCTCCTCCTCCTACTTCCTCTTTTCTTTCTCCTCCTTCTTCTCTCTCTCCTTCCTCTTCTTCCTGCTCCTTCTCCTTTTCTCTCTCTCCTTCTCTCCCTTCTTTGAAGGCACCAAAATTCTATTCTTTAGCATAGGTAAATTCTAAGAGGAGAACTAGAAAATTACAGACACTTAAATTGAGTTAATGCGTTATTAGTAACAGAAAGTGTTCTTCACATGTTGGAGAATTTCTTCATAGTTTGGGGGATTGTGGGTTGATTCATAGATGTGATTATGATGTAATGTTTACTCAACCCCTCGCACTGTCTGTAAAACTCAAGATCAATTACACAAACAAGTGCACAAGTATACCTTTGGTTTTATAGCATGTCTTTTCAGCAGAACAAAACCAAGTTTTTTAAACTGTACAACTGGAATATACTTAAGGAACAGATGGTAGGCACCAGCATGAGGGTTGGCTAGGAGCACATAGCTTAGGGCTGCTCTTCATCTTACAGTAGGTGGGGGAATCTGAAATTATTGGGGTACAATGGAGTTGCTACCGGAATTTGTTGAAATGGTGGAGCATGCACTCCCTTGTGTACAGTCCAAGACGGGGTTCCTGCTTGTGCACATACACTGGGATGCCAGGACATGCCATGGGTGCTGCACAAGGATGTGGTTACAGTGATGCCCATGCCACCCTGAGATGCACCATAAAATGCCCTGAATGCTAAGTAGGTACAAAGTTCATGGCTGGAGAGTGTTACAAAGGATGACTTCACTTGTTCTGTGACAGCTCCACTTAGATGAGTCACTTGGTTCTTTCAAGTGCTTGCGATAGAGTAACTACCCTAATAAATGTAAGGTACAATTCACTGAGTACATACCGTGTGTTAGGATCTGTGAGCAGGTCAAGTGCAACAGGCACATAAACGATCACTCTTTGAATTTCTAACCGGAAAGACAAGCGATTTCTCTAATGTGAAGAGCACACTTTCACTTACACAAGCTGTGAGCCCTTTTAGGTGACAGAAGAAAAAGGATATAGGAAGAATGCAGATGTTCAATAGTTTAATTTAAACACAGTGTAAACATGCCTGAAAACATCATGGCGTATATCACAAACAATTTTTAATTGTCAATTTAAAAATAAAATTAACTTTAAAAATAGAAAACAGGAACAGCAGAGCTAGAACAAGAACGAACCCCATGAGAACAGAAAGGTACAGTAGTATGGGTCATCTGCTGAGCTCCACACAAAGTCTCCATGGTCCCCACTAAAGTGTGTGGCAAGTCTTTGAGTTTTCTGAATCACAGTGGCCTCATCCACCAAAAATGATGACAGGGCAGCCCCTGCTTCACCCAGAGAGGGCAGTGCCATCATCCCCGCCTGTCCCACACCGAGTCACACCTTTGCATGTAAGTCTTGTGTCAGGCAAGCTTTTGAGGGGATTCCCACCTTCCCATGAAGATTTCCCTGCTTCCCATGGGCAAAAATAAACAGTGGTGTTTTCCATGCACTGACCCTGCTTACTCGATGTATGAGAATTATTTGTGTATGTTATCTAGCCCAAACCACCCACTTCCTGAAAAAGGGGCAGCTGGTCATCATTCAGCTCCCCCTTAGTACCCGTTCCTGCCCCACGCAAGTAAAGCAGGTGGCTGGCACAAAGCACACCCTGACTGGGAGATACCATCCCACACTCTCGCCTGCTCCGTCCCGTTCAGTGTCTGAACTATTTACGCTACTCACTGTGACACAGAGAGGAAAAGCACGCTTTTAAAGGGTTCCTCGGCATTAAAGCAGCTCTGTGGCCCACATTCCTCAGTGGCTGCTTGGCTGGCCCAGTCGGGGCAGAGATGGATATCTGAAAGTCAGGGAGACAGCAGAGAGAGAGCAATGGGACTGGCTTCTCTTCCTGAAGTCAAGGAAACGTCCAGCTCTGGAGCTCCTCTGTCAAAGGCAGGCACCTCGGGCAGCCCCTGCCTCCTCCACATTTTATTTCCTGCTCGTGGTCAAGGCCCCGCATGTGCTCAGTGGGCCTCCACCTGCCCCTTTCACCCTGGGGCTTGAGAGGCCTCGATGCCGATGTGCTGCCAGGTGAGATTACGCCTTTAGGGTCAGCAGTGTCCTTCCTGGAAACGCTCTTCTCCGAGAGCAGCTTCATCCTCGGTTCCGTGGTCAGAGCGGCAAGAGGCAGAGTCAGAGCCAAGTGAATTTGAGTCACGCCGGCCTGACATCCGCCATTACCGTGGTGTCCGGTCCTTCTCTGAGCTGTTTAAACCTGCCCTCTCTCTTCCTGCAAAGTGAGGGGTTGGTGCCTATCCAGCAGGACTATTGCGTGAGATGGTGTAGGTAAAACTCTGCGTCACTTGGCAACAGCGAACGGGCCCCGGGCCACAGAAAGAAAACAGGGGAGGTTGAAAGTCTGGCCTTGCAAGAGGCCTATACATCCATCAACAGGCGGCTGGAAAAAGAAATGGCAGTATTTAAACACAATGGAACATTATTCTGCCTCAAAGAAGGATGAACTTGAGTCATGTGTAGGAAAACGGATGCATCCTGAGACCATCATGTTATGGGAAATAAATCAGACACACAAGCTTAAGTATTGCATGGTGTCCCTTATATGAGAAACCAAGTTAGCAAGCAAAGTACAAGACAGTAAGACACAGGGAGACAGATCTCAGATGGTAAAGGGGAAGAAAAGACGGAGCGGGAAGAGGCAAAAGGGTTGGAGAAAGGATTAAGATGTGGGATGGACCTGCACCGGACCCCACGAGGAATGCGGCCACTATGTACTGCAGACGTGGACTCATAAAAGGAAAATGTTAGAAGGAAAGACGCCCCGCCCCTCTCGGGCGAGGAGGGACCCGTCCCTGCCCAGACAGAAACGCGGCTGCCCGCTCGGCCCCCCTACAGTCATCTGATGGACTAGAGCCTCAGGTTGTGGCTGGGTCGTGCTTGGTCTTTTTTAAACTTAATTTAAATTTTTATCTCTACCTGTTCGCAGTGCATGACGACCACACCCCTGCCGGGGCGCGGGTGCAGGTGCAGCACCCCATCCTTGCTACTTGCCCCCATCTCTGGGCGCCTTTCTCCGGCGGGCGGTCCTCTTCCTGCCCCTGTCCCCACGCTGGGTCTCCGCGGGCGTCCTCCGCGGGCCAGTCGCCCAGCCCCGCCGCGGAGTGGGGGCGGTGCCCACGTCACGGGAGGCCCGGCCCGCCCCGCGCGCGTCCGCACCCGGCCCGCCCCGCCCGGCCCGCCCTATAAAGCGCAGGTGCGGCCGGCCTCCTCCGGACAGGGCACCGCGCTCCAGCGACCAGGGCACCAGGCACCGGGATCGGGGATCCATGACACCCGCGCTGCTGCTGTCGCTGCTGGTCCTCGGCTCAGGTGAGCACTGCGGGAGGGAGGGAGGCGACAGGGACAGGGACCGGGAGCGGACGGTGCTGGTGTCCCCAGGTCCCGGTGCCGCCAGCGCGTGGAGCTGCGCGGTCCCCTCCGGCGCCTCCCGGGGAGCAGATCCCGGAGTCCCGAGCTCCTGCCCCGAGCGCCCTGCTCTGCCTGACCGCCCTGTCTTCCTCTGGGGGCCGTGTCGCCACCTCCCAGGACACCCCACGGCCGGGCGAGGGGTGAACACACCCCTCCGATGCTGCTCTATGGAGACTTAAAAGATAAAGCTGGGTCCTGAAACTCAGGGAGCAAAAACCTACCTGGCCTTGGAGTTTCTTCTCTGGAGTAATAATAAAGGGAAGGGACGGTGATAACCCTTCTCAGGCGTAACCTCTTCCCAGAGTTTTGCCCTTCTGTCCACACATGACAGCGAGCCCAGGGTGAGGAAGGCCGACCTACCTGGCGCCGCTTCAGACAGGCAGCCGGCGTCCTGCCCGGGGCCCCTTTGGGAATGGAAAGCGCTTGGACCAGGATGCTGAACACTGCCTGCCCAGCCAGTCCGCTGGCTTAGCTCAGCAGGGTTCCTCCTTGTAGAAATTAGCATAGACTGTGGGAAGAAACCAGGATCGGAGCAGCGCTGTCCCCTGGGCAGCTGAGCTTCCTCCAGGCGGAGTGCGAAGTGAGTCAGCCGCGAGCGAGGGCAGAGAGCAGCCTTCCTGGGTCCGGACACAGCCCTTCTGCAGCAGCTGCCTGGTGGGAGGCCCTCCTCATCTCCGTCCCCTTCCTCCTCTGCAGGCCGTTACGCCGCTGGGCTGGACCGCAATGACACAGACTCTGGGAAAGCTGGGCTGTTGTCGCCCGGGGGCCACAGCGATGGCAGCTTCCAGGTTACCACAAGCAGTGCAGCGCACTCCCCTGCCGGTGCCACGCCTTCTGCCAGCGAGCTGTCCTCGGGGGCCGACGAGGACTACTCAGAAGAGGATGACGCTGAGCCGGGAACTGCGGGCTACATTGTGGACTCCTCCGTCAGGGGTGAGCAGGGGCAAGGGGGCCTCAGAGCCGTGAGGCGGGGTCTGCAGACCAAGGCGAGGCTTGGGAAAAGGTGGCTCCCCGGAGCTTCTCATGCCCGCGCGCTGCACACCGCTGGGTAAATTGAGTCAGAGGAGCCGCGTGCGGACACAACCTGCATGCCCACAGCCTAACCCGCGCCTTATGTTTAACTCCAATCCTCACAATTTTGTTAAATAGGAACTGTGATTCCCATTTGTGGAGTGCAATTGCTAAAGCTATACGAGGCTGTCCTGGTCAAGGTCACAAAGGTAGCAGGCAGCTGAGCCAGAACTGGAGCCCGAGCTGACCCCAGATGCACCGACCTTTCCGCCCTGCCCCACACCTTTCCTCCTGAGAGCCAGGGAGCCCATCCATTCCTGTGTGCTGCCGCGTAGCGTGTCCCCTCCCTACATGCCAGCACCACCCTCCTGCAAATAACTGCAACTTCACACGAGGAACCAGAGGGAGAGGGGAGGACAGGACAGGAGGAAGTGGACTTTTTGCTAAACAGTAGGTGTTGAGAAAATGCGAAGAACAGTAATGCCTGCTAGAAATGGTCAAGAAGAAAGGTGTGCATAGACTCCATATTGCTAAAATCCTGTCTTAAACCCAAATCCTATTTGTCAGCTAAGAAGTAGTGATTCCTAGCTCCCTTCACTTTTTTGTTAGCTGGTTTCCTTTGCTTAGAATGAAGTGCATTCGGGAGAAAGAGGTAAGATCATTCTTTCCCCTCACATCTCTCTGGAGTGTAAGGGGAGAAAAGGACCACGGTGATTCAGCGCCCCGTATGCTGGGAGCATCTGTCCGCGAGGCAGAGCAAGGTAGTCTCGGCATCTGACTTCTCCGTCAGGCTCTTGATAGGAGCAGTGATGTGGGTACCTCATGGAGCAGTGGCTAGGGGCAGTGGCAGGGAGGAAAGTTTCCATGAACTCTCCACCCCTTTGCTTCTGAGCTGGGCTCTGTGTGCTGTGGAGAGGGTCCACTTGAAATTCCTGTGTGTGGAGAGATGACATTAGACCGTCCTGGTGTATAGCAACGGGTCTCCCAAAGACAGTTTAAATTGTTAACATTTCAGGAGATCAAATACATTACTAGCAGGGTGAACAGCTAGCGTTCAAAACTGCAACATGTTATAAACGAGCCCTACACCGTTGGCTGAACTCCTCTGAAAAGCTGTTCATGTAAATGCCCATGAATGTGACGCCCATTTCAACACCTCTAAGGTGACTAGTGTCTGACTGTGTGATTTGTAATCTGTCCGATAAAGTACAGTAACACTCATTGGAAATGTCTCTTTTAGAGGACTTATCCTAACTTGCACTTTTCTAATCAGAGGAAAGTCTCAGTATAAAAAGTGCATAACCACCCACTAACATGAATATTAATTTGACTTTCATTAATGATATAATCATCTGCTAAAAGATTTGTCATTTTCTTAGTCATGAGGTTTCTATCTTTGATGACCTTGCTAATCTGCACTATGTTTTTGATGTTTTCTATTGAATGGGGTGCTGGGTGACCTTATGACTAATGGTATTTTCTCTTTTTGCTGGGCTCTGTTTGCTAAATACTTGATCATATAAACCTATTAAGGGATTAGCGTAACAAAAAGCCCAGCAGGATGGAAACCTCCCCTCTCCATGTTTAGCGGATGAGTAAGCCACACCTTGCATAACCAGAAGGCTGAACGGCATTTCTGGAGATTTGATAATTTAAGAGAAATTTCTGAGAGCATCAGACACAAAATCACTAGGCTCTTTGCAAGTAGATCGAACCCAGGAATGAATCCCCTGTCAAGTATCAATTGATTATAATCTGTTGTAATCCTGGGGCTGGAAAAATTGATTAAAATAGACTTCTCACTTTTCTCCCACCCTCCCTCAGGCATTGCCCACAAATTCCCAAGTGTGACAGTGAGCAGAAGGCCGCTATGGGTGCACAAAACCGGCCAATACCACGGCCACTGTAACATGGTATCAGGCTCAGAAACCCAAACACAGCAGAGCATGAAAACCACAGGGTCTGACATCCTGGCACTTATTTTCTGCTGTTCATCCTAGCGCAAGTCACTTGTCTTTACTGAATTTTCCTCCTCTAGCTAACAGTACACACAACCATGACCGTTACCAGAAACTTGGGAGGTATTAGAAAGTCAGGAAATACTTAAGATGTTTAGCTTTTTTTCACAGATAGCTCCTATGAGCAATAATAATGATGATAATTATCCAAATCAATTCAAAATATGTGCATAAGCGAGTGAAAGAACTAAGGTGTCCAGGGTTTTCAGGGCCATGCAACAGAACTAGTCTCTGCCTATCTCATGAGTATGCATTGTGTGAACCATGAGCTGCACATCTCCAGGGCTCACCCTGCTGTGACTTCATTGTCTCCAGCCCCCCAAATCCTAATCCAGGTGACAGTAGCAGTTGTCAAGAAATGTTTCCATTTTTCAGTTGAACAGGTAGTGAAACCCAAGAAAAACAAGACAGAAGGTGAAAAGACTTCAGATAAACCCAAAAGAAAGAAAAAGGGAAATAAAAATGGAAAAGGTAGAAGAAACAAGAAGAAGAAGAATCCTTGTGCTGCAGAGTTTCAAAACTTCTGTATTCATGGAGAATGCAAATACCTGGAGAACATGGATAGGGTAACCTGCCAGTAAGTTCTTGCAGTTCTGTACAATGCTGTGTCTACTACACCACACCTGAAGTCCTACACTTCAGAAAACCATTGATTTTTATCATGTGTACGCCAAGAGTCAGCTGGGCATGGTGGCACACACCTGTAAGGCCAGCGCTTGGAAGGCTGAGGCAGGAGGATCACTGCAAGTTCAAGGCCAGCCTGCACTATATAGTGAACTCAAGGCCAGCCTGAACTACACAGTGAGACCTTTCCTTAAATACAAAACAAAACAAAACAAAACAACCCCCCAAGAAACAAAACAAAACCAAAAAACCCCAAGAGTCAGCAAATATCTCCTTAAAGGCTCAGGTGGTAAATACTGTCAGCATTTAGGCTTACAGCCAAGGTCATTCATGACTTATAGAACCAATTAAAATGTAGCCATTTAAAAACATGAAAGCTATTCCTAACTTGCGCCTTGTAAAAATAGCATAAAGGCAGTTAGCTAGATTTTATGTGTGGCTGCAGTTTGCTGACCCCCAGTATAAACCACTATTTTACAAAATATGTTTTTTTAAAACGTCCTTTTTAAAAAGGACCTTGAAGTACTTTTCATGCACTTTTTCATGATCTTCCACCCCCAACAAAGCATCAGCACACGAGATGCAGAGAACGTATTCACTGTGTTTAACAAGTCACCTACTGCAGCAGTTGGACACTAAAGACTGGCCAGGTGTGACTTCTTGCAATATCACACCCAGAGCAATGCTGACAAACAGATCTTTACCTAGAACACTACTTAATTTGGAATATAAATATCTGCTGTGACATTTTTTTCTCAATGTTGGAATTAAATGGCTGCTTTTGACCTAGAAAGTAAACCTGAAATACACAAGATCTATTTGGCGATTTTAATTTTTAAGCACGGCGCGTTGTTTGCAGATGTGATCAGGATTACTTTGGAGAACGGTGTGGAGAAAAATCCATGAAGACGCACAGGATCGCTGGCCATGACTTGTCGAAAATCGCCTTAGCGGCCATCGCTGCCTTCATCTCCGCCGTGAGCCTTACAGCCATCGCGGTGGTGGTCACAGTGCAGTAAGTGCGCCCTGACCCAAACACCCCAAGGAAAGAAAAGGGGCCAGTGTTTCCTGGTCCTACCACATCCCGCTACCACGTCTTACAAGAGTTAGCCTTTGGGTGGCACAGGATCTCAGAACAGAATGCGGTCAAAATTTATTTTACTTTGGCCACCAGTGAAACCTGGCTTAAAGCTCTGTTTTTGTTTTTGTTTTTTTGTTTGTTTTTTGTTGTTGTTGTTGTTGTTGTTGTTTTAGTTTTTCTCCGGTACCGGGAACCGAACTCACGACCTTGCGCTTGCCAGGCAGGCGCTTTGCAGCTGAGCTAAATCCCCAGCCCCTAGCTCTGTTTTTCACAACTAGAAATTTTTTAAACTTAAAAATTGGGGTGTTATTGTATTCCTTTTTTCTACCAATGTTTTGTTTCCCCAAGTCTCCGAAAGTGCTGCTACTTTTGAATAGTTTAAGTCTCAGCGGGCCTCCAGACACTAAGGGCTAATTCCCAGCACGTTCGTAGCATCGAGCACAGCGCTCTGGCGTAAAAATCCCTGAGAACTTCAAGGCAGCATCCAAGATATAAGACTGTCTCTGCTCATATTACCAGGCAAAACTCTGAGCTGGGAACTTCCTAGCGCGGTACTTACATGCAGCTTGAGCCTCTTTTGTTATTATCAACTCAGTAATATGGAAACCTATTAAAAAGCAAAACCAAACATTTCCTCTGCACGGTGCGCTGTAGGAAGCAAGAACAATTCTGTGATTGTTGCACCTCGGCAGTTTCTGCCTGTGCTGGGAACGGCATACCACTCGCTCACTCCTGCGCAGTGAGTGAGGGCGCTGGGCCGTGCTAGGCAGTGGGCAGGATGGGTGCCTCAGGTTGGCATTGTCTGCCCAACAGCAGCCTCTTCGTAAGGGGAACCGGGGGAGGCATGAGTGGCTCCCGATGACTCATGTGCCAGCCCTGGAGCTTGGGAAAAGCAGTGAACTCTTAGTCTAATTTTAGGTCTCGGTAAATTACTTTAACAACCAGAGTGTGTATGTGATCTAGGACTTCTGACTTCAGGAAAGAAGGCATTATCTTCTAACATTGTTTACTGCTATCTTAAATTCAGATCAGACAGTGATAAAGTGACACACAACACTGCTTTGTCATGCGCAGAAAGTTTGAGGTGCAGCTTAAGTTTGCTTTGCGCACCCTAGAATTTACTCCTGTCTTCTGTTCCTCAAGCCAGATAACACAAATGTGTGTAGGAGAGATACAGAAAAACCATTATTATTTGACATAGAAGGACAGAAGAAAACATTGCTAGTTAAAGATGATGTTTTGCCATAATTAAACTTTTAATTATTCAGCTTGCAATATTTAATAATCCTTTGGAAAAACACGGCAAGACTGTCCTGCCGGCACTCTTCAAATGAAGCCATGAGCTTTTTCTTTCCTCCCACACTCATATGAGACAAAAAGCTAAGCCTAAGCCACAGTTGTCACTTTTTTCATAACTAAAGAAATTCTTCCTTCAATGGCCAACAAAAGATCGTGTGATTTTAATGATAATGCTTAGTAGTTTGACCAAGGACCCAACTAATCATAAAACTGCTCACACAAGACCGAGAGATTTTTAAACCACTTAGTTTTTGAAGAAAGTAGCAATGAAGACAACTAGCAGGGAGTATTTATTACAAGTAAATCAATTCTAAATTGTTTGATAAACCACTTTTTAAAAAACTCTAATCATTTACATCCATTTGTGTCATCACATGCCATAGTCTGCTCCTCCTATACTCAGGACGTGAGTCTGTTCCATGTCTTCTCAAACTTTGCCTCTTGGAGACACAGTCAAAGCTCATTTCTCTGGAACAGTGTTTGTTTAAAGGCAACATTGGTGATACTTCAGAGCCGGGTTCAGGCTTGGGTTGAGCAGGAGGCACAGTGCTTATTTCTATGAGCGCGAGAGAAAGAAATCTGGTACTCATGAAAACTCCGATCAACATACGATGGAGAGAAAGGAGATAACACTAGGCTGTCTTGTCCTCCCAAGGCTTCGGAAGCGATACTTCAGGGAATACGAAGGGGAAGAAGAACGAAAGAAACTTCGACAAGAAAATGGCACTGCACACACGGTGGCATAACCCAGGATAATACAGGTTTGATTTTTAAAAGACATCTTTAGAGTCTATTCTATAATACTCAAACTATAACACGATCATGTTAAGAACATGAGGAATGGGTTCTTAATGATAGAGTCACCAGGAACAACGACTGAAACATTGTGCTGTGAATATGAGATTGAGTTCCATGTTGAGAATGGGCTGCATTGGTGAGATATAGTTCTTTTTCTCAAAGAACTAATGTTTAGTAGAGAGGAAATAAACAGAAAGAATCAGAGTACAAGGGGAAGGAAAGTGAGTGTCATCCCTTGGAGAGTGCCCTGATTCAGATCCGTGTTGGGGGAGAAGTTTGCATGGCCAGGTTGAACTCATACCCTGCCAGCCCTGGTCAGGGTGCTGCCACCACAGGTGACCAAGGGGAAACCATAGGCTAAAGGGTCCTTCCGGGACAAGAAGCAGTAAGGAGAGGGGCATAGACTGAAAGCAACTTGGCAACAACATATATTTTAATTTTTTGTGCAGAGAGCTGTGGAGTTGGAAGTGTAGCTCAGTCGTAGAACATGTGCTTAGCACACACAAGCTTTTGGGTTCAACTCTCAGTGCTAGAGAAAGGTATGAATTAATAAATGTGGGAGAGCTGAGCGTGTTTCAGATAGAACGTAAGAAGCTATGAAGAAGGATATTTTGCTGATGATAAAAGTCAGGAGCTCCTGAAGAGAATTTCCAGAGGAAGGGGAGGAAGGAAATCAAGACACATTTAGAGCTGGTTAGAAGAACTTTATTTCTTCAGACATTCAGGAAAGATGATGCCACAGTCTTAAGCTCCTGATTTTCCAGGCATTAATGGGTTAAGAGTTACTTGAGGTGCTTGTTAGATATGCATATTCCTATGACCAGCCCTAAGTCCACTGCATGAGAATTTCTTTAGTGAGGGCTCCTGGTGGTTCTAGTGCTTGGAGAGACATAACAGTTGGCAGTGGTTATGTGCTGTGTTATGGACTGAGACTGCTACAGATGCAGTCTTAGTTTAGGAAGTAAATAACTGTTCATACCAGTGCCACACTGGGGATTCATTACAGCAACCATTTTTTACTGCCTTGGCTTAACTTCCATAGTTAAGACCACTAACTCAAATAAAGGAGGATTTTAGGTGCTGCTGTTGTTTAGTGCCCTTGTGGGATGTGCTGTGCTGGCACACGGTGGCTGCCTATTAACTGGAAGCGGCTGTTATTATGCCCTTGGTACTAATTATCTTAAATGAACCATAGATCATAAAACATTAAGCCGCCTAACCTCTGTTTGTAATTTTGTCCACTCTGTGCATTTGGTAAGGAAAACTATTTTTCATCACTGTCGTTGCTTTTCTTTTTTAAAGCAGAATTTCACGCAAGTGATGTGAGCATTTGTAGTTTTCTACCTAGGTGGGCAGATCACGTAATGAATAATGAAAGAGGGATTGAATGCACAGCCAATTCATCTCCGAAAAGATTGTCTCACTTTTTCATAAGAAATCCTAGAAAAAATTGACAGAAATTCTGATTCCTGATTATTCTTTGAAATTTTCTTAACACTGCGTTGGGATTGAGCTTACCTGGAACACTCTCTTTTCACAGGATGGCAGGTCGGAGTCCTCGCCCCTTCTCAGAGTAAATGATGAGCTGGTCTCCTTTCAGTGAAGAAAAGGGAAACTTTTGGTGGTTTTGTCACTTTTTATGCTAAGTCTTATTTCTGTACATAAAGAGATGCGCGGAGATAAAAAGTATTTTTTCAAGTTGTAAATAATTTATTTAATATTTAATGGAAGTGTATTTATTTTACCACTCATTAAACTTTTTTAATGAAACAGATTGAGAGTTTGGATATTAGTTCTGATACTGTGCTAACCGAAGGTATTTTTTTCCTAATACTTGGCTGATCGTTTACAAAAAGATTTCCTCTCTGTCTCTGTTTCTCTCTCTCTCATTCTCTCGCTGTTTTTATGTTGAATTTGAAAACATTCTCTTTCTCAGGGAACTTTTTCTTAGTGAGAAAATTATAGACACTCTCCCCCACCCCACAAACACTAAGAATGTTTATAGTCATACTTCCAAGCTGGCCTTTCCTATTCTGTGCAGAGCCTGTGCCGTGTTCTGTGGATCAAGATATGGCGCCATCTCTGTCACAGCTGGCCCAGAGGTCAGAAAGGAGAGCAAAGCCACTGCCTGCATGGTGAGATGATACACAGACAGGAGAATGGCTCAAACACTATGAAAGTGACGTTCTCAGAGAACCACAGATGCTTTCACTGAGACTTCTTTTCCTCATACCAGGACATGAGCTTCTGAGGCACCTAACACCTCCTCCCTTCTGCTTCTACTCTTCTCTCCCAGTGTTTTACACAAATGTGTGTGCCTACTTGGGGTGTCCTTTTTCAAGGACAATGGGACTATGAGGTGACCTGCAGTCTCGTGCCTGCTCATCAACCAAGATAGACAAGTGTAACGCAAAGCAGCCTTTATAATCTGTGGGGAGATATTTTGAGGATACTCCCAAGCATAAGATCAGCATCCTCTGATAGACTCTCATGGAGGAGGTGCTTTCAGCATCACTCCTCACCTGTCCCTGCACCACACCACTCACCACATCCTTGCCCAGCAGGGACCATCCGCGTGCTTCCCAGCCTAGCTGCACAGCGTCTCTAAACGTCTCTGTGTATACACTTCCCCCCAGGCTCTGACTGCAGTGGCGAACCTGTGGTTTGCCTCTGCTTCACCATCTTCAGCACGGTTGGCCTCACCCTCTTTCACTGAGTGCCTGTGGCTGGTGACCCAAGTGCCAGGCTAGGGATACCAGAGAGAAAAGCCAGGCTCAGAGACACCCCCACCTAGTCGGCAGGAAGTGTGTCCCATTATCGCAGGCGTGAGCTACCAGCTGAGGGAACCACTGGGAATCCGTGGGGGCCCAGAGCCCCTCAAGCAATGGAACAGCCACCTGGGGAGGTGCTGCCTGAGCTCATCAGAGCAATAGAGATAAGATTTGCTGTAGGCTTGAGCAAAACCAAGAAATCACCAAAGCATATGAGATGAAAGGGAAAATTTGGAAACTGGTTCAGCGCTGCTGAAGTAAAGTGTGGTGTCACAGAGGCTGTGAGGAAGTTGGGTGCTGAAAGCAGCCACATCGGGCCTCTGACGCACACTGTAGGACAAGCGAACAGTTCCAGCCAGCTCATGGAGCAGAAACCAAAGCAGATTTGAGCTCCAGATAGTTCTCCAGCCTGCCCTGCTGGGGAGGGAAATGAGCGAGGGCTGGAGATCTGACGAATGGCTCAGGAGCAGCAAACTCTCCCAGGCTGAAAGATGCTGGTCAGGGAAACTGGGGGCAGAGCTCAGTCTTAGTTAGAGATCAAAAACACAGAATCGAGGTGACTGACTATAAAAACAAGGCTGAGGATAATGCAACAGTGAGGAAAGTGAGGGAGCCACCCTCACCTCAGGGTCTTGGCCTCATTAGCCAGGTGGCTGGTGATTGCATGCCTCGAAGGACCGCATCCCTGGGAATGGCTTGAGTGCTCCAGGAGGGAAGCGTGCCTTTTCATTTATTCTTGACTCAAGAATGGCCCCTTTTTGGTTTTGGAAAGTTATCTTCTCTAGTCTGCAGCAGATTTATGAGGAAATAAGTACCAGCCTGGCCATGAGCCAGCTGAACCAGCCCTGGCCCTCACCCACACCTGCACTGACCACAGGAGGAGAAGAGGAGGGCTGTGAGTGCGACATTGGAATCCACTTCCAGTCTGTTGAGTTCCAAGTGCCGGGAGGACTCAATAAGCAGCAGGTATGTCAGCCTGAGATCCAGGGAGGGGAGGAATTATAGATTGGCAGTTGCCGAAATGTATTTGGTAATGAAGCTATAACGTCCTCCAAGGTACCCAAAGGAGGCTGTCATGAGTCAAAAGGAAACCTTCACAGGGCTCAGCAAACCCGATGGCTTCTGTAGGCACTGTGAAGGTTGTGAGCTCTTCCCTGGCACCCCATGGGCTTTTCTAGTCCTTACAATAAAATTTACAGAGTCATCATAGTGGAACAGAAGGCAAGAAAACTTCCTTAATGGTAATAATGAAAATACTGATGTTAAATTTATTGTCCTTTGATATCCTGGGAAGTCAGGCTCAGAGAGATGAAATAAATTTGGCACGGTCATACGGGTCAGTGTTAGGTTCTATAGAGCTGGTCCACCAAAACCACTGACAGTGTTAGGTTCTACAGAGCTGGTCCACCAAAACTACTCTCTCCACTGCTTCTTCTATAACCAGGGTGTTTGGTCTGGGTCTGGAGAATTCAATCTGCTACCGATTTAGCATGATTTTAACTGCCATTGATATAGGAGATATTTAAGCAGTTTATTTCAGACTCAAATAAGATGATGCTTTCTTCATCTATCCATATCACCTTCACAAAATTTCCCAATCGACCCCCTTTCATCATCACTCAAAATAAGACCACTCTTATTTATAATATGTACGTACTGATAAAGACAGTGACGTATCAACCAAATCTTGGAGATACACAATTAAGCCAGGTGCTGCTCCTTAGCCAAAATTATGACTCCACTTTCTGAAAAGACTGCTGTCCAATTAATTAGATAGCATCTGCCTATGTTTATGTTGCTCCAGAGAGGCAATTTCTTAAATGTTGGTTGGATTAGGTTGTAACATTAGCGTTCATTCTTGAATGTAAGTCCCACTAATTCTAGGATTTGATCAATAACAGATCTATTGTTTAATTCATAGTCTTAAAAATCTAAGTCTAGAGGTAAATTCCACCCCAGATTGCGACCTGGAAGATCACAAGGAAGGAAGCTTTCCAGTAGCACTCGGTGTCCCTGTCCTGGGTGTCTCCAGCCTAGGTCAGGTTGAAGAAGAGAGTGAACAGGAAGCTAGGTGAACCGGTTCCTAACGCTCATCTCCCTGGGGGTTCATGTCACAGAACAGCCACATTTTCCTGTGAACATTCCTCATTTTCCCTATTCAGGTTCGCCCCGAGCCTTGGTGTTTATCCTATGCATGCAAAATCTACACTGTAGCTTTATAATCATAACATTTTGTGCAGCTTACTTCAGGGTGATGCTCTCGTTCTCCTGGACACCTCAATCTCCAACTTGCCCCCAGGTAGGCAAAACCCCTCTGTGTTATAATTTCATAGCACTTATTAATATTTCAATTAAATGCTTATTTGGGTAACTAATGTCTTCTTTTCTCACTGGCCTGTAAGCTCCCAAGAACACAGACAGAGTCTCTTTCAATGCTCTTCAATAAATATGTATTTTTTGAAGACTATGTGGTCAAAAGTCACCCAGTATCATCACCTCTTGTAACTGTTAACATAACAGAAAGCACTTTGCCACGGGAGAGAATTGTATGGGTTTGAAATATGCTATAATGTCTTTACTTAGTAGCAAACCCAAACAAACACACAAACAAAAAACCCCCAAAACCCACTTTTGTATTTTATGAACTCATAATAATAACTTCTCAAGGGACCTAATCTCTATTTATTTAAGAGTATATAACCATTATGCACAATTTTCAGTTTTCATGGGCCGACCTTAGCTCTTCCATTCAGAGGAAGTTTCTTCTATCTAAAATTGTCTTCGTTATTAGATCTTCCCTTTCCCCTCTTCATCTGTTCAGCCGATATGCGCTGTTGTCTGCATAAAGCACATTGTGTGAGGTGATTTGAAATATGAAGGCAGAAAGGTGGCCTGCATCCTTGGCTAGGACCTGTGACAGGCACAGGAAGAAATTAACATCCCAGGCACAGCATTGCAAAAGCATTCCCCTCCTCCCTGTCGAGTGTGTGCTCCATGGCTCCCCATCAGAAGGTATATGGTTGTCCTGTAAAATAAACTAAAAGCAGAATTTTCTATTGTAACAGCGATGACATCATACTTCCTGAACATGATAAAAAGCAGTCTTCCAGAACCTATGGGAGTCTATGGCCATCCCAACCTGAATGCACCTGATCCCGTCAGAACCTATGGGAGAATTTAAACTTAATGGCAAATCAACAGATATTTTTCTTGTAAGATTAAAGCAAAGATGCCTGTTGCCATGACTATAGTTTAACATACAACAAATATTCTGACAAAGATTTTAGGAGAGAAATATAAGTAGTGTAAAATTTTGTAGGAAAGAAATAAATGTGCCCTTCCTTGTTTTCACACAATAGAAACTACCTAGAAAATCAATCGAATCAATGTTCAAACTACAAGAATTTATGAGAAAATTTCATAAGGTTCGCAGATATTACATACAATCCCCAAATTAATAGGTTTTGTGTGACAAATTATCCCAGTACAAAAGTAAGAAATACAATAGCATTCAAAATTGGTAACAAACTACAAGACATGTATGTATTAACATTGCAGAGAATTTTAGATGCTTATTAAAAGAAAGCAAACCAATATAGCACAGGGAGACATTCCCTTGTTGCAGACTTCAAGTTGTAAAGGGGTTAATTTTCTCCTCAAATAATCTTCAAATTTAATCAAATAACTTCAAAACTGTCCTCCAAAATTTTGGTGGGAAAACAGAGGTATAAGAAAAGTTGTCATTTCGGGGAAAGAAAGCAGAAAATATTCTTAATTTATTAAATCTTTAAACATTACTGGAGCTGACACTATGGTCACACTTACTCAGACCCTGAATGAATATACCCCACTGCCCAGGCACATACAGCATAAAGGAAATAGTGAGGTTCTGGCCTATATATAAATAGATCAATGAAACCACCCAGAGGGCTTAGAGACAATGGACCATTACAAGATAAAGTAAGCACTATAAGTTGATAGAGAGAAATGGGCTGCTTAGCAA